CCTGTAGAAATGTTTAAAGCATCACCCATGGAGATTTTTAAGTACTGCAGTTTCAAGCCATTCCACGAGCGTGTGTAATTTTAAAGCGTGATATGTTGGGTATCTATTTACTCGCTGTAACATCCTCCTTCATACTTTACAAAAAAATTGTGGTATATATTGTTTTTGTTTTTTAACCAGTGTATGTTTTTCAAAAAGATATATATTTATTCTTAAAAACTGCGCATTTCAGTTTTGGATATCGGCCAAGTGCATTTTGAATTTTTTTGTTTTCGGTTTCTGCACCAGAATTTTCATTTGCACCACTAGCTATTACTGCTCATCTCCATCATCACAGGAGCTCTCAGACTCTGAGCTCAGAGCTATTTCATCTCGGGGGGTCTAGGCATCACTTATTAACATCCTAGCATTGTCCTGGGAATTTTCAGGCCAGGCTTCATAAGGTACATTTATTTATTTATTTCAGGTACTTATATAGCGCTGTCAATTTACACAGTGCTTTACATACATATATATTGACATGCAGGGAAGAAGTCCCTGCACTTCATCCAAAAATGCTGCCCACACGGGAACCTCAGTTCCCAGTACGGTTCCGTTTTCCTGCGGGTCCACATTTTTCTGTGCGGGTGGTGTGGCTGCACAAATTTTCATGCGGATCCGCAGCGGCACGACCCGCACAGATGTGAACCTAGCCTATCTGTCAGTCAAACTATCACAACACTGAAAACTGAAAAATTGCCTGGTAATGAAGGAGTATTAAAGGCTGGTACTCAAAAGGTTAAGCTATATCTATGCAGTCCTAGATGCACAGTTGACCAAGGGGCATAAAGGAATGGTTTTCAAGGCTTTGTCTCCTATCTTACAATGAGGAATAAAATCCTTTTTTTTGCACTAGTATAGTGGAGGGCTTTTTGATTTTTTTCAAGTCCACCTCACATATTCTCTCTCTTTTCTTATAAATCCTTCCTGGTTTGCATGACTGGGGTTGTGGTAGGGTAGTGACTTTTTCTACGAACAGGTTTCCTTTTCTTCTCAGTAAGGTGGGAGGAAAATGAAAACCAGAAGCAAAAAAAATATATATTAATAAAATCCCTCAGCAACCACAGGGGAAGGCTAAAAGTTCAAATTGACACCAGTAGGCTTGTGTCTCAGTTTTCACAACTGTAAAGTGTAAACCAAAAACATTATACTTCACTTTTGTTAAAAGCTGTGTGCATGCTGAACAGACCCCAAAGGCTAGTTTTGGAAATATCCCTTTATAAAATCCAGGTATATTCCCATATGTACTACCCTACTCCTTCAAATTTGTGAAAATATGTCCTGCTTGGTTTTAAGGACTGAGTTTGAACCTAATGATTTCATTATAATATTGTACAAAGGTGACAGGAAACAAGGTTGCTCATTGGGCTTATTTTCAGAATTAAAAAAATCCTACATATGTTCCACCATGAAGCACATACAGCGCAAATCTAGAATACAACTTAAAGTGTATGCATAGGCAAAGCTTTTTCTACTAGTATGGTAAAAAGTTGGGAAGAATTAGATCCCTGTTTGTATCCCTGCTGGGCAGATTCACCCTTTTTGTCCTGGTGACCACAGTCAGCGAAACTGAAAGTGATTGAAAATGCTAAATATTTGTCACCAGAACAACAGGTCAGGCTAATTCTTCCAATCAGGACAATTGTTCACGTGAAAAATGTCTAAGTGAGGAAATCTCTCCCCCTTTCCTCCTACTTCTGTTGAATCACCTAGACAAGGAGTAAAGGAAAATTTCTCCAATGGAACACAGGTAGCAAACCTAAACTGACAGTGGCTTTATGTCTTCCCTGTTTTATCTAAAATTATGCCTATACAGTACATACACAATGAAGGATAACCCCATACAAGTGCACTTTGTTATTTGTGGCTTCTGTCAAAAGTCATTAGAACCCTGTTTATAGTTTAACAGTATGCTTGTATGAAATCTGTTTTTATGGCAAATATATCCTTTAAGTTGTCTTAAGGCCCACGTGGCACAATCGATCCTGTCACTGGTGACATCCCACCAGAGACAGAATGGCCAAGAATAATTCAGCACCTTTGGCGGTCATTTTCAACCAGGGTTCATGGTTGATCTCTTTACTGTAGCTGCCTGTAATGGTGGCATTCTGAACACCACTATAAAGACATTCCTCCCACTGGCCACTAATGTAAGAGGCATTCTTCTCACTGACCACCAAATTAGGGGGCATTCTTCTCATTGTTCACCATTGTAAGGGGCATTCTTCCCACTGGCCATGAATGTAAGAGGCATTCTTCTCACTGACCACCAATGTAAGAGGCATTCTTCCCACTGACCACTAATGTAAGAGGCATTCTTCTCACTGACCACCAATGTAAGGGGCATTCTTCCCATTGGTCACCAATGTAAGGGGTATTCTTCCCACTGGCCACCAATGTAAGGGGCGTTCTTCCCATTGGTCACCAATGTAAGGGGTATTCTTCCCACTGGCCACCAATGTAAAGGGCGTTCTTCCCACTAGCCAACAATGTAAGGGGTGTGTTTTTTTTCCCACTGGCCACCAATGTAAGGGGCAGTTTTCCCCCTGACCACCACTGCAAGGGGTCTTCTTCCCACTGGCCACCAATGTAAGGGGCATTCTTCCCACTGGCTACCAATGTAAGAGGCATTCTTCGCACTGACAACCAATGCAAGGGGCGTTCATCCCACTGGCCACCAATGTAAGGGGCATTCTTCTCACTGACCACAAATGTAAGAGGAATTCTTCTCACTGACCACCAATGTAAGGGCCTTTCTTCCCATTGGCCAACAATGTAAGGGGCATTTTTCCTATTGGCTAACAATGTAAGAGGCATTCTTCCCGCTGACCACGAATGTACGGGGTGTTCTTCCCACTGACCACGAATGTAAGGGGTGTTCTTCCCACTGTCCAACAATGTAAGCGGTGTTTACCCACTGGCCACCAATGTAAGGGGCAGTTTTCCCCCTGACCACCAATGCAAGGGGTGTTTTTTACCACTGACCACCAATATAAGGGGCAGTCTTCCCACTAACCACCAATGTAAGGGGGCATTCTTCCCACTAGCCGCTAATGTGAGGTGCATTGTTCCCAATGGCCAATAATGTAAGGGACATTCTTCCCACTGGCCACTAATGTAAGGGAGCATTCTTCCCACTAGCCGCCAATGTAAGGGGCACTGTTCCCAATGGCCAATAATGTAAGGGACATTCTTCCCATTGGCCACCAATGTAAGGGGGCATTCTTCCCACTAGCCACCAATGTAAGGGGCATTGTTCCCAATGGCCAATAATGTAAGGCACATTCTTCCCACTGGCCAACAATGTAACGGGCATTCTTCTCACTGACCACCAATGTAAGTGGTATTCTTCCCATTTTAGCCAACAATGCAAGGCTCATTCTTTCCACTGGCCACCAATGTAAGGGGCACACTCTTACCAATGGCCAACAATGTAAGGGCCATTTTCACACTGGCCACCAATCTAAGGGGCATTCTTTCTACTGAACTCCGATGAATTGATTTAAGCATGGGTTCCTTGAGGTCTGAAAATTATTTTAGGGTTTCCTCTAGGGTAATGGCTTAGAAAGGCTACGGTGTCACTCCTTCATTGACCAAACCTGTAAGTTGTCCCTCTGTCATAACTCTCTGCAGTAGTTCAGCCAGTGAGAGAGTGAATTCAAGTAAGAAAGATAGCAGTTATTTTAGCCACTGGCTAGTGTTGTGCAACCTTTAGTACAGAAGAATACGATTATTTCAGTGAAATTAATTTTGTCCCAAAATTACCCATTTCACTATCTGCAAAATTATGCTAAACCCGAAGAGCTCATTTTCACTCTCTGCGATTATTTTTTCTTTTTTTTAATTTGTAGATGTGTTGTTGGGTTGTATTGATGTTAGTTGATACAATTTTCCTTTAGGGTTCTTTGTATTTGTGCTTTTTTTATCCTACTTTTTATATATTTGATTGTTATTTGTGTACTGTTGCTTATTTTTTTTTCTTTTTTCACTGGTAAAAATAAAACAACTTAAGGCTAACAAGGGGCTCTATTGGCACAGGAAACTTTCAGAACAGGAGTTTAAAGCTCATTGCATTCTTAAAAACCAATGTTTAATGGTTATTTCCTCCTTGAATGTAGTTACCATATTTTTACTGAAATTTGCAAAATTTGAAAACTCACATTCTTGCGCTTACAGCTCTCTATAAAATGTTGTGCAAACAGCTTGTATACAGGGTAGAAGACCTCAGACAGTTAGGCAATGGCATAGAACTGAATCACATGGTTCTATTCTTTTTTTGCTCTACACCAGTGATCTCCAAACTGCAGCCTGGGGGCCAGATGCAGTCCTTTGCTTGCTTTATCTGTGCCCTTGGGGCACTAATCCTCTTAGTTATATGAGGCAATGTTTCTCCTACTGACACCAACAATGGGGCATAATTCCTCCTATTGACACCAAAAATGGGACGCTATTTCTCCCCCTAATATCAAAAGATAGGGAACAGTTTACTCTCACTGCTGCCAGGACAATTTCTAACCCCACCAGCCACAGTCTGGCCCCGCTAAAGTCTGAAGGACAGTAAACTGGCCCTTTGTTTAGAATGTTTGGAGATCCCTGCTCTACACCCTATAGCAGAATAGAGATGAAAGAATCACAAAAGTATGTGTACTCCTTTGCAATCTTTGGGCTGACGAAACAATTCTTTGTGTATATATACTGTTGATAAGTACACAGCTGTTTGGCTGGAGCTACATTTTAAGGTTAGATCATTATATCTCAGGACGTACATTTTTTCAAATACACAGCAGCATTGCATGGAAACTGTAATACCGTGAAAGTAAAATTACAGCTGTGGAAGCCACATGCACGCAAATATCACATAGATAACACTGAGTTGACAGTACGCGTGCTTCTTACCATATTTCCTTGCTTGCGCAATAGCCACTCTTGAGAACAGAGTGCGAGGGCATATGCTTGTTCACAGGTATGTAACTCGGACTAGGTTGGAGAGACGTGTGAGGAACCGATTCAGTCAGCTTGACATCAGGACACTCACCTCCGTTCTGAAAAATAAGCAAATATCAAGAATCACTATTTGACATAAAGATCGGCAAACTCTGGCTGGTATGACCTTCTCCATTATTATAGAAGAACCTAAGGGCTGATAGGACAGAGCACATTGTGCAAAGTTTTGATGGCTTCATATGTTGAGACCCATTACTAGGGTGATGTTTGTTTGTTTGACTTTTTTTTTTGCTTGAGTTCATCTTAAAGAGACCCTGTCACCTACTTCAAAAATAAGTAAAAAGCAGAGAAAAATCAAGTATTTTAAACATTTTACTTACAGATTTTTTTCTAAATTATTTTTTATTCACTTCAATGTGCCTCCAAAATTGCTAGCAAATCTGGCTATTTCAGTAGGAGCTAATTCCCTAGCACAGTTCCCCTCTTCTGCCTTGTACATCACAGCCCTGTCTTCTTCCTGTGATGTCTAATTACTGTCTGTGCTGGTCCAGCTCCTCCAACATCCCTTTACCTCCCTACATAAACATTTATGTAGTTGACAGGGGAGGAGCAAAGAAAAATTCTATAGAGTGTAACTTGAGTCTAGACTCACTTGCTCCTCTAACTATATGAAGTATTAGGCTCTGACCATTACAACCTTGGCAGACTGACACCACCAGAAATCTAAAGAGACATAGCCATGCACTGGAGCGATTGTGTTGTAAAACCAAATCCCAGCAAGCATTCACCCTATATAAATCTGCTTTCTTAAAATGCAATTCCTCCTTCCATGCTGCCAAACAAGCCTACTTTGTCACTCTTATTAATACCTTGTCATCTAGTCCTTGTCATCTCTTCTCTACTTTTAACTCTCTACTTTCTCCACCGCCACCTCCACCTCCACCTAGTAACTTACTCACTGTTTACGAGATTGCCAATCATTTCAAAAACAAGATTGATGCAATTCATTGGAGTATCTCCACTGCACAGACATCTATCCCACTTAGCATACCTTATACTAAACCTCAACACTTTCCTCTTTTGACCTTGCTACTACTGAAGAGACCACAAAAGTTTTCCAAAAGACCTCCAGAAAAAAGATCTCCTACCTTCCCAACATTTATATGTTTATCTTCAGATACGCCACTTCTTCTCTACCATATCTCCCTCATTGACCTTTGGGAAGCCTACTCCCTTTGAACGTCTATGTATACAAGGCCTACATCAAAGGGGCATCATTTCTAATACATATAAACTCCTTATGGATGCTTCCCCCCTATCTAATGACACCCATCATTACATGACCAAGTGGTCCCAGTTTTTACAATGTGACATTGATCTGACACTGTGGAAGAAAGTTTTGGAAAATGCACCTAGATCTTCTGTTTGCGTGGTTTATAAGGAAAATACATACAAAATTATGATGTTGTGGTACAAAACGCCTGAAGTACTCCATGCCTGTAACCCGAATGCTTCTTCTGCCTGCTGGCGCTGTGGCTCTCTCTACCATATTTTTTGGACATGTGGATCCATTACTCCTTTTTGGGAAGAGGTTTTGTCCTTCTTACAATTGCTATTGCATGCCTCTCTCCATTTCGAACCTTTATACTTTTTATTGAGCCTGCCATTTCCGGGCCTACCCAAATTGGTCAGGAAACTCTCCACACATGTTCTGACTGCGGCCAGAAGAAGCAATCCTATGTGTTGGCTATCCTCTATACCTCCTTCGATGCCGACTTTGTTTAAAATGATTGCTGATATAAGACAGATGGAATATTTGACTGCTCTACATGCTTGTTCGATTGCTGTGTTTGAGGCAGTATGGAACCCATGGGATATCTTTATTTCTTCTCATCCTACCCAAAATGTACAGTTTAAACAGCCTCTCCACTGTTATTTTGTGACATTATATGTTCTGTACCGATGCAGATTTCTACCATCGATTTGCTTCTTTCTCTTGTTTTTCTTTCAAATGTGATGTATGTATATATATATATATATATATATATATATATATATATATATACGTGAAAACCAATAAAAACTGTTAATTATTAAAAAAAGTTTTCTCAGAAGCCCGTCACACCACGTGCCCCCTGGATCCTGTTCCCTGTTCCCTCACAACTACTATGGTCACCCTCTACTTCTATCCTATGCTCCCTCACTCACATCTTCAATCTATCCCTCTCTACTGGCACCTTCCCCACCCCTCTAAAGCATGCACAGATCACTCCCATACTTACAAAGCCCTCACTGGACCCCACCAACCTGAACAACTTAAAACCCATCTCCCTGCTTCCGTTTACCTCTAAACTCTTAGAACGCTTAGTCTACAATTGCCTGAGCTCCCACCTCACCGACAACAACCTTGTTAACCCTTTACAGTCTAGCTTTCGCTCACTACACTCCACCGAACCTGCCCTACTAAAACTCACTAATGATTTACTAACTGCTAAAACAAATGTCCACAAATCTATCTTTCTGCTCCTCACCTCACCCCTTCAGTCTCCTCTCGCATTACTAACCTACTAAGTGACTTATCAGCATGGATGTCACTTCACTTCCTCAAACTCAATCTCTCTAAACCGGAGCTCATACCATTACCTCCAGCCCGTGCCCCCTCCCCTGACTTCTCCATCAAGATCAGTAATACAACCATCAGTCCCTCCCCCCATGCCAGGGTACTAGGTGTAATCCTAGACTCCCATCTGTCTTTTCAGTCCCAAATCCAATCACTGTCCAAACCTTGTAGACTTCACCTCCGCAACATCTCCAAGATACGCCCGTTTTTTAACCACTGAAATCACTAAGCAACGTATTCACTCCCTTGTTATCTCTCGCCTTGACTATTGTAACTCCCTCCTCATTGGCCGACCTCATCGCAGGCTACTGCCTCTTCAATCTATCATGAATGCATCTGCTAGACTCATCCACCGTACTAACCGTTCCATGTCCGCCACCCTCTCTGCTAATCCCCCCACTGGCTTCCCATTGCCCAACGAATAAAATTCAAAACATTAACAATAACATATAAAGCCATTTATAACTCTGCCCTCAGGGCTCTGAGGAAGAGGCAAGTCCTCGAAACGCGTCAGCCTTTTGGATGTCTACACTCCCCATTGCGGACTGTTACTCAGCGCGGTGTTGACCCAGCTGTTCTTTATGACGTGCCTTGACTATATTGTCGTTTGTGAGTACAACACCTACTTTATTTTTTATTAAACATTTTTTATGGTAATGCACTAGGCCTGTGTGCCCTCTGTTTTGTCTTTCCTCATTGTAAGCAAATGGCCAGGTCACTGTCCTTAAGACTATAGGGAGGCAGTTTGTGGTCAGTAGGAGTAGAAAATGCCCCAGCATCAGTGATAAGCGAAAATAAACAATACCCTTGGCTTGATGGTGAGTTTGAATAAATATGAACCAGGGTTTTATGGTTGGTGGGAAAAAAAAAACATCCTACTGTCTGTGGCTAAAAAGAAAAGGAATAATGCTTCATTCTTGGGTTCAGTGGAAAAAATAGCACCTCAGCATTGGTGTCAGTAGGAGGAACAGTGCCCCATCATTGGGGCCAGTGGGAGGAATGGTGGCCCATTGTTGGTGTCAGGGGGAGGAATGGTGGCCCATTGTTGGTGTCAGGGGGAGGAATAGTGGCCCATCATTGGTGTCAGAGGAAGGAATTATTTTGTGTCATTGGTATCAGAGGGAGGAATAGTGTCCCATTGTTGGTGTCAATGAGAGGAAAAGTACCCCATCATTGGTTTCAGTGGGAGGAATAGTGGCCCATCACTGGGGTCAATAGAAGGAATACTGCCTCATTGTTCATGCCAGTGAGATGAGTATTGCCCTAGGGGACATTTAAAAGTCTGCAGTTTGGGGACCACTGCTCTATCCCATGCCACAATAAGTCTCCAATTCCTTTAACTACAACAGCATTTAAAGCCCAGTAGTAGCTTATGAGAAAGTTATGTAAATCAAATCAGGGTGGCTCAAATTAGTAAGTGATAATTGTCTTTTTATTTTTGTAAGCCTACCCTAGTCACAGCAGAAAATGCATATGCTTGGCAGTATGTTGCAGAGAAATATAGCTGCTCTCAGTGTGGTCTGACACACCCCAACACCCGCCCCACCCCAACCCTGCTGAGTCCCACTGAGTTACATTCAGCAATGAGGAGCCTAGGATCATGAATGCTGATTATCTGTGTCACGTAGACTAGATAATGGAAGAAATGTTGCACAATGACTGCATACATGCACAGACCTTTCATCATGCAACCAGATGTTACAAGAATGTAGTGACTGCTTAATCCAGTGCAAATGGCTGGTGATTGCAGTTTCCATAAAATATGAAAGATCATTGACTATATTACAGAAGAACCAGAATGATACACCACTGGGCTTTACAGATGTATTTCTGTGTGTGCACAGACATGACCTACCTGGTTCAGAGGTGTCTGCACCACCACTCCTCCAATTATTTCCATCTTGTATGGGACTGGTGTATTTTTCTCTGCAGGACCTGTAGATCCTGTCTCAGACAATGGAGTGCAACCTGGTCGGGGTACCTGAAAAAAAGAGAACAATCCAGGTTTATGGAAAGATATTATGCATACATGAGAGGAAATGGTCATTATCTGCAGTGGTTTAGCAAACTGTCATCTAGTATTGATATATACACTCACCAACCTCTTTATTAGGTACACCTGGTCAATTGCTTGGTAACACAAATTGCTAATCAGCCAATCACATAGCAGAAACTCAATGCATTTAGGCATCTAGGCATGAAGACGACTTGCTGAAGTTCAAACTCAGCATCAAAGTGGGGAAGAAAGAGGATTTAAGTGTTGAATGTGGCATGGTTGTTGGTGCCAGACGGGCTGGTCTGAGTATTTCAAACACTGTTGATCTGCTGGGATTTTCACACACAATCATCTCTAGGGTTTACAGAGAATGGTCCAAAAAAGAGAAAAATATCCAGTGAGTGGCAGTTGTGTGCATGAAAATGCTTTGTTGAGGTCAGAGGAGAATGGGCAGTCTGGTTTGTGATGATAGAAAGGCAACAGTAACTCAAATAACCACTCGTTAAACCAAGGTATGCAGAATACCATCTCTGAATGTACAACACGTCGAACCTTGAAGCAGCTGGGCTACAGCATCAGAAGACCACACCGGGTGCCACTCCTGTCAGCTAAGAATAGAAAACAGAGGCCCCAATTCACACAGGCTCACCAAGAATGGACAATAGAAGGCTGAAAAAACATGGATTTCAATCCTTGTCGGCATATGTTTTTACCAATGGTGTGTTTGGTGACTGTTGTCCCAACTGCCTGGAGATCATTCACAAGCTCCTCCCGTGTGGTTCTGGGCTGATCCCTCACTTTTCTCATGATCATCCTTATCCCATGAGGCAAAATTCTGCATGGATCTCCACACCGAAGGCGATTGATGGTTATTTTGTATTTCTTCCATTTGCGAATAATCGCTCCAACAGTTGTTTCCTTCTCACCAAGCTTCTTGCTGATGGTCTTGTAACCCATTCCAGCCTTGTGCAGGTCTACAATCTTGTCCCTGACATCCTTTGACAGGTCTTTAGTCTTGCCCATGGTGGTGAGGTTTGAAGGGAAGAAAAAGATACTGTAGACAGGTGTCTTTTATACACATAAAGAGTTGTTGTTAGGAGCACCTTCTTAAATTGGCAGGACTATTCTGTGTACCACATGAGCCAGTCTGTGGGAGCCAGAATTATTGTTGGTTGGTAGGGGATCAAATACTTATTTTACTCACTGAACTGAAACTCAATTTATAACATTTGTATCATGTGTTTTTCTGGATTTTTGGTTGATATTCTGTCTCTATCATTTAAAATACACCTATGATAAAAATTGTAGACCTTTCATTTCTTTGTAAGTGGCCAAACTTACAAAATCTGCAGGGGATCAAATAATTATTTTCCTCACTGTATATAGGCTGATGCAGTGTTTACACCCCACTGCTGGCGGAGCTTTTGGACCTTTTCAGCCCCTGAACTCAACTTAATAAAAACCTGTGTGTTCAAGCAGAGGGCTTTAGGGGCAATTAAATGTCCCTCTCCTGAACACAGAAGAATTGCGTTCAAGAGAGGAATATTTTGTCCAAATAACCTATGTAAACACACCTAAGCGCTAGACATGTTTAGCGATTGGGTGTTTATTAATTTCAATGGAAAGTACTCTGGCCAATGAAATGAATAAACGTCCGAGCGCTAAATGCGGTATCGCAATTACACACATTTTTTGGCACGTTTAGCGTTTTCCTGCTGCCAGTAGAGTTAACGTCTACAGCAGTTCCAGTGTACATGTAGCATTAGTTTTCTTTTTCAGGCTAAGAACATTTTCATCAAGTACAGAAATACCCATTGATCTTGCCAGAAATGCAGTGTCCTTGTTACTTTCTGTGAGCAGAAAAGGAACCATAAACATTACCATCTATTTTGCGTTTACCATCACAGGAGCAAGCTATCAAATGCTGAGCTCAGAGCTGCAGCATTAGGGGAGAGAAAGTGCATGTGAGGGAGTTTGAATCAGAGAAAGAGTTCATTCCTGTGATGGTAGAGATGAGCAGTAAGAGCTAGGCCTCTCTTAGCAACGTCTTTGGAGTTTTCTAGTCAGGCTTCATGAGGTACTTAAATGGCCTACACCTATAGCAAGGGCATTATTCATGTATTCAGAGCTGGACAGTTTGTTTTCATCTACAGATGCCCCTTATCTGCATAGGCATTTTTTTTAAAGGTGGTGAACAAACTTTTTAAAGCTGAATTCCAGGCATGGCAATGTTCATTAGTCCAGCTTGGACAGTATGTACAGTTGCAAGAAAAAGTATGTGAACCCCCTTGGGATTACGTGGAGTTTTTTGCATGAATTGGGCATAAAATGTGCTCTGAACGTCATCTAAGTCACAACAGTAGAAGAACACAGTCTGCTGAACATAATACTACACAAACATTAGATGTTGCCATGGTTTAATTGCACATAACATGTCAACATTCACTGTGCAGGGAGGAAAAAGTATGTGAGGCCCTAGCTTAATGACTTCTCCCAGAGCTAATTGGAGCCAGGAGTGAGCCAACCTTGACTCCAATCAGTGTGATGATATTGGATGTGTTGCTGACAGCTGTCCTGCCCTTAAAAAATACACACCTGTTTTGGGTTTACTGGTTTCAAGAAGCACTATCTGATGTGAACCATGCCTCGCAGAAAAGAGCTCTCAGAAGACCTACGATCAAGAATTGTTGACTTGCATGAAGCTGGAAAGGGTTACAAAAGTATCTCCAAAAGCCTTGATGTTCATGTGTCCACGGTAAGACAGACTGTCTACAAATGGAGAAAGTTTAGCACTGTTGCTACTCTCCCTAGGCGTGGTCGTCCTGTAAAAATGACTGCAAGAGCACAGCGCAGAATGCTGCATGAGGTAAAGAAGAATCCCAGAGTGTCAGCTAAAGACCTACAGAAATCTCTGGCACATGCTAACATTTTTGTTGACACATCTACAATACGGAAAACATTAAACAAGAATGGAGTACATGGGAGGACACCACGGAGGAAGCCATTCCTGTCCAAAAAGAATATTGCAGCACGTTTGACGTTTGCAAAAGAGCACCTGGATGTTCCACAGCACTACTGGCAAAATATACTGTGGACAGATGAAACCAAGATTGAGTTGTTTGGGAAGAACACACAACACTATGTGTGGAGAAAAAAAGGCACAGCACACCAACATCAAAACCTCATCCCCACTGTGAAACATGGCGGAGGGAGCATCATGGTTTGGGGCTGCTTTGCTGCCTCAGGGCCTGGACGGATTGTTGTCATTGATGGGAAAATGAATTCCAGAGTTTATCAAGACATTTTGCAGGAAAACGTACGACCATCTGTCCGCCAACTGAAGCTCCGCAGAGGATGGGTGATGCAACAGGACAATGACCCAAAGCATACAAGTAATTCAACAAAACAATGGCTGCAACAGCACAGAATACGCCTTCTGGAGTGGCCCAGTCAGAGTCCTGACTTCAACCCGATTGAAATGCTGTGGCATGACCTTAAGAGAGCGATTCACACCAGACATCCCAAGAATATTGCTACACTGAAACAGTTTTGTGAAGAGGAGTGGTCCAAAATGACTCCAGATCATTGTGCAGGTCTGATCTGCAACTACAGGAAACGTTTGGTTGAGGTTATTGCTGCCAAAGGAGGGTCAACCAGTTATTAAGTCCAAAGGTTCACATACTTTTTCCTCCCTGCAATGTGAATGTTTACATGTTATGTGCAATTAAACCATGGCAACATCTAATTTTGTGTAGTATTATGTTCAGCAGACTGTGTTCTTCTATTGTTGTGACTTAGATGACGTTCAGAGCACATTTTATGCCCAATTCATGCAAAACTCCACGTAATCCCAAGGGGTTCACATACTTTTTCTTGCAACTGTATGTGGCATACCTTTGGGATACTTGTGGAAGTTGGACATACCTGCGGGATACCTGTGGAAGTTGGAAATCACTGAGGTAGACACAACTATTCCAATCATCTCCACTTGCTTCCAGTGCCAAGCAGCTGCCCTAGTGCTCACTGAACACAGGAGGTCACCAGTTCAGGAAAGGCACCTTTCAGGGAACACGTTGCATTTTCTCAATGAATGCAAAATATTCTCTGATTGGACAAGGTGGAGATTAGTGTAGTTTGGCATGGGGCCTGGAGACTAGCAGCAATCACTCCAGTAGTGGTGTCTACTACAGTAATTTCCATCTTCCAATCTTCCACCGGCATCAGTCAGGTATGGCACATATATGATTACATTGAGCCAAGCTGGACCAATGTAACTATGAAACACTGCCATACCTAAACTTCAGCTTTAAACACTTTGTACCTTTAACCTCTTCACGCCGGCTGCACGCAAATGTGCGGCCTCCCTGTGTCTGGGCCTTGACGCTGAGCGGCCGCACATTTGCGTGCTATTAAGAAAAACATATGTGCTGAGAGTGCGCTCCCAGCATACATGTCCGGTACTCACGGAAAAGTCCCAATCTCCTCTTTCGATTGGGACCTTTCCCGATCATATGACCGCCGTGACGGCGAATCACGGCGGTCACATGACCTTAAAACCCCGCCCCGCCTCCTGGCTTCTGAAGCCCTTTAAGGACTGGGAGGCGCCAAGGGGTTAAGGTTGATTTTTTTATCCTAAAAATGCTAATGTTTAAGGCATTTTTATTGCATCATAAACTGATAAAATAACTGAAACAGAGGAGTGTGGAGTCAGTATAACATTGTGGTGTGGGGTAAATCGAAATCCATGTCTGCCCTTCCTGGGATGAATCCGCAGAAGTTAATGTGACGACAGTAGCAAAATGGCCAGTTGCAGTGGTGGGTCAGAGGGTATGGGGATAAAATACTGACTCTGCTGCCCGGAAAACAAGCAGAGAATGAATCTACCCTTGGCACATGTTCTTGCTTCTTCAGCTACATTTACACACGAATGTGTTAATCACTAGTGACTGAGCTCCAACCAGACAACAGTTACACAATTCTGGACG